AAGGATACACCATCGACAGATGCTGAGAAAGCTACTGACTTTCAAGGTTCCACACAAGTTAGCAGATTGGAGTTTACTCGTGAAAACATGGCAACATAGAATAGGGCACGTTGTTTCAAGACTATATTCGAAACAAACAACTTTTCATTGACATTTTCTCTCAGGTAATCTCAACTCATGGGAGGAGTTCGATCTTGACAGGCTGAATTTTGCTACTGCTGGAGAGGGTTTGGTCGTGAATCGCTCGTGTACTTGAGGAGGAATTTCGGAGAAAGCTCGTTGATGGGTCTGGGGCAGTCTTCGCAAGCAGCGGGAGGTTGGAAGTTGCCGTTCCATTATTGTGTCGCAGGACGCCACGCGTGAACATAATAAGAATTACAAGCAGTTGCATCAATATTCACTGCGTTCCTAGTGGAGCGCAGCGAAGGTTGCATGTTTAGCAACAGGACCACGCGTTTGTCAATCTCCCGCAATCTACCACAGAGTGGCTCAAACGAAATGGTGCTAAAGCTATGGATTGCAGTGTGCTCTCCTGACACCCTATAGGGGACCCTTGATCAAGGAGTTTACTATAACAACTGGCAGTACAAAACCGCAGATGAACCGAAGGCGGCGGTAGAGGCTATTTAGGAGACAGCAACGAAACAGCTATGGCCAAACGTGGTCCAGATTATGCCGGACAGGATGTCTTGAGCTAATCAGAAACTTTGGAGACCCCACTAAATTCTAATCCCAGTTATGTTCTTTTGTCTTTTGTTAAGTGTTTACATACTTTTGAAACAAAGAGGAATTCTATTCAGTTCTTTTTTTTTTTTTAAAATGAGACGACATTATTGTGCTTTACATACGTTCACTGATAGGTAATCGACTACGAGAAATCTATTTAGGAGGACCATAGCACGAAGCCCATTAGTTACCTTTCAAACTTGAATTTTGGAGGGATGTCCACATACATTATACGAAGTTATACGACCTAATAACTCCACCTGCGGCTTAAAAAAATCTTTCTAGCGTTGTTAATTGCAAAATTGCCGGAAATTATATCGAATGTTACTCTATTATACACAAACATTTCTTTATGTATATTACTTGTGGTATATATTAGGTTGTCTTTGCGCATTTGGCAAATTTTTTCCAAAATTGTTTTTCTTCTTTCAGTCAGCCAAACAAGTGTTGAAACCATCACCACCATCGCGATTATTCTTCACAGCCAACGTCAGGCTGCGGCCGTTTAGAAATCCGAGGTGGGCCTAAAGCTCAAAGATGCGTTGACTCAGAAATAGTCCTGATCACCGGAAACGGCCCTTATTTCATACATTCGTTAAAAGACAGAGGGCTACATATGGTTAGCCTGTTTTTACCAGGTTTGCAGTACACACTGATTGGATCGGGTCACTCCGATAACGAGCTGGAGAGCTTTCCTGAACCTTCTTCGTAATTCGTGGGCGAGCGTTGCCGACATGAAGTAAAGTTTCTCCGATTTTCCGGGCACCATGCCGGGAAACCAATCCACTTGCTAACATTATTGTTCACCAATAGCAGTGGACTTCGTTGGCAGCAGCTCTCCGTGAGCGAAACATTTGCAGCCTCATGAGCTTTCAATGTTGCCTCCCAGGTTACTGTTCTCTAATCGGCGTAGCAACTCCTTTGTTCTACGCATCTGAGCCACGTCGTAGAGTGTGTGTGTGGTGGTGGGTCGTGTTGTTGATCTGAGGAGTTGCCACTGTGTGTGTGAGTGTGGTGTTCGAACCATTGTGATAGAGATGCGTTGGGGGGATAAATCGATCGCCAAAACGTAATGCATCAGTTAAGTAATGCCCACTTTTCTTACACTCAGCGAACAGTTGGGTGTTATGTGTGTGAGTGTTGGATTGAGCAGCGGCGAATGAAGTTCTTTGCCAAAATTTAACGGTGGCATATTAGTCTGTGCGTCAGTCTATCACAAATATCCTATATCCCCTTTAATTGTTTATGTTCTGTTATATGAGGCGATATGAGGAGACGGGCATGTTGGTCTGGTAGCACTGAAAGGTGGCCAATTACCGGTCTGCATTGGCACTAACCAGTCTCGCCAATCGAGATTCGAATACATTCGTCGAGTGCCAGGGGTGGCAGGGCCGACGCAGAGGGAGTTGTGGGAACTCGGGGAAACAATAAGCAGTGCATATTGGGGAAGATAGGTGTGAGTGCCAGATCACAAACCATGTAGTAGAAATTCTACTGCTGGCTCAAGTATGGACTGCATTTTGTGGGCTTATACTGATGAGTCCATTTTAGAGAAGTCTCGTTACATTCACCATGTGAAATAACTTATCTGATTTGGGTAGCGAGCATTGATTAATATCCAGCAAAGCTGTCACCTTATAATTCCCACAGACTTGTCTTTCCATCAGGCTTGGCCACTATTACTAAAGGTGTGGCCCATTCTGCGTGTTCTACCCTTGTCAGGGTGCCATTCTCTACTAAATCCTTGAGTTTCGCCTTCTGCTTGGGGTCTCAACGCTATAGGGACCGGTCGCACCCAACAAAATTTTGGCTTTTCCATTCCTTGCTTGAATTTCAACGAAACTTTCGTTGTCGTACATCGGCCCAGCCCTTCCTGGAACAGTACCCAGTTTTCCTTTAACATATTTTTATTGCCACTCGTAATTGCTCTTGAGGGGCGGAAGTGGTGTAGTGGCAAGTGGCACGCTTACCACGCGAGCGGTCCGGGGATCAAATCCTGGGTCGTGAGTCGCCCGGGCCAACCAAGCCTTCCATCCCTCCGGGGTCGGTTAATTGGTACCAGACTTGTCTGGGAGGATAAAAAAACACTGACTTGTACATCGGCTGGCCCCCGCAAGTCATTGTATAGGCCACATCGCATTCAAACGCCACTACGAATGTACAAATGGAAGTAGAATGCGTGCCGCATCCCAAAAAGGGATTGATCAACGGCAAATGCTTTATCCTTTTATCCTTTAATTGCTCTTGAGTGCAAGCTTCCTTCCACACTTCACGCCAATCGTATTTGAAAAGTCGGCGTACCTGTCACACTTGTATTGCACCTAACAGCCCCCATGTACCACACCGTTTCGACGTGAATGAGTACTCACTATGAGAGCTTGAACGGCGGGTTGGGGTAGCAGCATTCAAAAATCCAAAAACGTGTATCACCAAGTTTTTTCCCATTATCGTTAAAGGAAGTGGTCACGGAAATTCCTATGGAGACGATAGGGAAAGTGACATAGTGGATTGGGTAGGGGTCCTACCCAATGGGACGACAGGTGACGCTTCAGGGGCAGTGGCGCCTTATCAACGGCGTGATAAGGCGCCGAAACCCACTTCCGGTTCGGCGTTGCACCTCCTTATCAGACGTGGAAGGGATGCAACAGCAGCGTGCTAGATATGATACGGTTATCGTTCGATTTTCATGCTGGAGTGCACCTCATTCCAAGCAGCCGTATCTTCTTATCTAATCGTATCGTATCTTCCATAGGGTTATGCTCGTCCAACACTATCTATCTCCGACCTTATCGGTTGATAACGCGGAGTTCGGCGATCCACGTGGAAGCCAGCGTGATCGCTTCCTTTGAGCATTATCATTATTTCGCCAATTATTGTCTTTAGTTCTCGTGTGAAACTCCAACAAATCAAACTATGAACTACGTCTAGGAGTATTAGTGCGCCTACTCCTGACTACTTGAACCGCCGCCAATGGCGAGGTGAGGATTAGAGAACGGCACTGGCTCGGCTCAAGTCCAAAAAGGGAAGATGAGAGTCCTAAGGCTAGCCTTTTAGGAGGACATTTCTGGGCGGGTGAGCCAAATACGATGCGGCAAAATTCAGTGTGTGAGACCACAATAATCTCACGGATAGTTTTCAGGCTAGAAAGCAGACGAGAACATCAAATCGAGGTGGTTTGAGGGACCGAGTTCTAGTATCCCATAGACCTCAGTAGAATGAACAATCAATCGTTCTCAAAAAGAAACTGCTCAGACACTTTTGGCTGTCCAATAAAAGTATGCACAGCGAAGCTATTGCTGGTTAGGCGTGATCGAACATGACTTTCAATTTAACGCTGTTTCAATTATAGAAATTAGAAAGTAAATCAGGAATTTGGAAAAAAAAAACCAAAATAAAAACAAAGACAAAAAAACCAAACAAACCGCGGGATCGGCAAACTTGTGGGGGATACCGCGAGGGAAATTGTAAGGCCCTTACATATCCAGATCACTCTATCTTCGTCGCAAAAATTGCGTGGTTAGGGCGCTAATCCTTACGGGTCTGCAGCCATGTGTGTGGTTTACTAGGACAGAAAGCGACTTTTCGCGTTTCGCAGCGCGAAACATTTTTCGCTGCGGGAACCTCAGGTCCACCGCTGATCAGCGTGGACCTGAGGTTCCCGCAGCGAAAAATGTTTCGCGCTGCGAAACGCGAAAAATCGCTTTCTGTCCTATTGGAAAACACCCTGCAACCATCGACCCAGTTGCAACGCTTCCCACCCAATGCGAGATATGGTGAGATCAGCGTGCTCTCTCAAACGACGTGCTCTCTCGCGTATTTTGTCTTCTTTGATCGCCCTGTCTCGCCATCGTACCACATCCGACCTTATTGAAGGTTAAGGCCTTAATTTCAGCGTTCCCAAGATTCTCTTGCTTTCCTTCCACTTTCAGGTCGTTCCGCAGCTAAGCTATCACTACGAAGCGCTCTTAGCACCAGTTTAATCCCGGGGTTTGCCTTTAAACGTTTATTACGAGGATCCATTTGGAATTCCTCGTGTTTTCTTGATAAAATGTGCAGTGAATCAAATGTATAATGTCGTAAACCAAAGATAGTTTATTGTAAACATGAAACGAGTGAAAAAAATGGAACGAAATACAAGTATTCACATGAAGATTGAAGATTTACAAGCATGAAAAACTCAAAGTGGAAAATTCAAAGACTTTCTCAGGCAAGTGAAATTAAAAAATAAATCACCGGAAACTTATTGATGCATAATTTGAGCTAATTGGCTATAATTAGGGGAAGTCATCCCTGAGCAGAAACATACTCGTCACTTCAACCTGTTCCTCCCATAAGTGCCTACATAAAGGACATCGCTTGTGGTTGACTGGAGGGTGCCCTCCTAGGACGTCAAAATCTTCATGATTCCTACGATCAGCAGCATCATACCAACGAACAACACATCTGAAACCAATCAAACATACAGCGAACACAAGGAGTAACACAATGATTCAGGACAAAGTTGCAGTATTGTTTGACTCTTAGAATTTCCTCGCTGCAATACTAATTTGAGAATTGATCGGTTAGCATCAGAAGAAAATCATTGATTGAGTAATCTCTAGCACTAGGGGATATAAGATGCGACTCTCCACAAACTCTCCAGATGTGCAGACGACTACTTACAGAAATTTCGATAGAAAATTAATAAATTATTCAGCGAAAACTCAACCGATCTACCATTTTCTAATCTAATAACAACGCGAGTATATCAAAGTGGAAAGCACTTGTTCTGGCTACTAAATAAGGTATTGCTTAAGGACAACGTACAAACCTTCGACAGCCAATCATTTGCTGACAGTACAAACAACCAACAGGATCAAATGGCACTTCTTCAAAACAAATGGTACATCGTCCAAAAGCGTCGCTCCTAAAATCGAATGTGGATTCAGAACTGTAACATAGTCAAAAAAGAAGAGGCTACAGTGGAAGTCGAAGGGAGCTAATGAAGCAGATCCCGATCATACGCTTTAGTGGATGTAAAATTATGAGATATCTGAGCAACGACAACATAACCAACACAATCCAAGATTAAATAATATTTAATTGCCTGATAACTGTGTCATCTGGTTCCTCCTCAACAATTTCTTCATCTGATCCTAAAATAAGATAGAGCTTCGGAGGAAAAAAAACACTCTGACCCGGTGCAAAAAAATGAGATTATTGTGGAGATGAGGAAAGCAAAAAACGCAAAATAAAAAACTTGTACAAAACTCACTGCTACTCATCTCTTCTTCATCAATATCAATGCCAGCCAACGAAGCTAGAAGAGCAAGTGGTCGGATAACTAAAGATTATCTGTGTCAAGAATAACTTCTCATTTTTAACCGCACACTTCCTCATATCCACAAGAATACCACACGGTAGTGTGCCGTTACAGGAGGTTATTCCTGACCACTTTGCAACGCTGTTTTCAAAACGTTTTATTCTATTGGGTCGGAGCATAATCGTAGCATTTTTCGAGCTACAAATTCAGTGAATACAAGTATTACCAAGGAAATCACATATATCATTTGAAAGTACTTCTTCCGCTCTACAATACCTTGTTTGGCATTTTCTTCTATATTGTAAGTGTACTCAGATATGGTGCTTAGAAGTTGGAAAATCAAGGTGGGCGAAAATCTATATAAAGAAAAAAGCTGCCAAAATAGGAGTTTTTCGGTCCATCGTCATCATCGAACCTTACTCCAGTCGACCCTCAATTTCAAATCATATTCACGTCGTACAAATTGAGAATAATGAGGACTCTGAAAACGGGCTCAGTACCCTTTTTTGAATTCTAAATAATTTCTTGCGAAATGGAATCAAAGTCGTAAATAATGACGAGAAGAACATCACTGATTAGTTTTATGCTTGGCTTTGCTTTTGGGTTTTGCTTTAAACATATGCGAGCGCTACGATATTATGCTCCACTCACTACATAATCCTGCAGAAAAGCCCATTTTTACAACACTATGATTTAAAAATGTCCTCTTCTCGATTCTCAGAAATTTTCAAGTCCAGTGTACCATTTGAGTGAGGAGTAAAATGATTGTCTAACCTTGTCGAGAGAGGGTTTCGATAATGTCCATTGTGTCGAGAGAAGAATCATTATCATCACTAGCAGGTGAATCCACGTTTGGGTCTGAAATGTTCCACATTTAAAAACTACATTGCGGCAAATGGGAACATGAATGCCAAACCCCGTCTAGGAAATGTTTCAAGAGCGTCTAAAGTGTCGTGAGAAGAACTGCTATCATCGCTATCAGTTAAGTCCACGGCTGGCTCCGGGGATGACGCACTGTGCTCGCTTTCCTTAAAAATTCATGACCGTAGTCGAACAAAGAAGCTTCCGTACCGATGAAAGGTAGCAATGAGCTTACATCCTAGGCGTGCTTTTTGAAGAATAATTTGTAGTAAACTTGCAAAAGCAGAAAATCTTCCATGAGCCAATCTTTTCGGAAACCCAAATTTTTAGAGACGAACTGAACATACCTCCAAATCATCACCGTCATCATCGTCAGTGTCCTCTTCTTGATAACTGGACTGCAGCTCTTCCTCTACGCTTCTCACTCCACCATCAGAATGATAGTTGTCTTCTTCGTCGTCAACGTCGTCATGGTCATCACTACCATCGTTGTCATCGCTATTACCATGGGCATCTACTCCGACACTATCATCTTCATCGCTATCACTGGGGGCGTTGTGATCCACGTCATCATCACTATCACTTTCTTCGGAAATGAGAGTGAGTTCATCAGCATACATTTCCTAAATATGAAAAGAAATTATTGACTCTAGACTAGGATTCTAGTCCGTGCAGAGCATGCACCAGGGTAGGCGGAGTATCAATTTCTGTCCCTCTGTTCAGTTTCGCTGGACCTTCTGGGAGGGCTCATTCATAGTCGGTCATCCAATTGTAACAATTAACGATTGACGGTCGATGCGCATCGATCCTACGTGTCTGAGGACTGGACTATCGATACGTATCTGACGCTCTCCCATCGACACGATTGTGCGATCGGACGACCAAATATGAATGTGCCCTGACACACACCTTAGTGTGCAGAGGAAAACTGGTTAGAGCAATAACTCATTTTAGTACAAATATTACCCCTACGCTGCATATTGAACCAAATGTATCAAAACAATACGAGACTATACATTAGAGGTTAACAGTGGTCTATGAAAGGTACTGAGTGGATTTGAAAGAGGCCGATGAATCAGCGCGTCCGTAAAAATAGAAATCAGATGTAGAATGAAACATGGAAAATTTTGAGGTCCTCTGGCCTTGTTCTCTCAGATCAGACATCTGAGTTTCTTTAAAAGGATAGAATGCAAACGGTGCTAGTGAATATCTTTACCTCTTTAACCGTTTTCATTCCATTTGTATGTATGTGTATGTATGTCGTTCATACCAATGTGTTCAGTTTAGAAAGAGATCATAGACATCGGAGTGATAATGGGGCTCCCTTCCCAAGTTATAATATTCACGTCAACTCGAAAAATGGATAAACATTTAGTATCAAGAATTCAAAGATAAGAGGTAAATAGTTGCCAGATGGAAAAAAGAGTAATACAAAAATGCGCAACAACCTCATCTCCTCTCCTCAAAGACTGCTGGACAACACCGGCCAAGCCCTGCGTGGTAGGAGCATTCGAAACAGCAGGGTCAGAAGCCAAACATGAAATATTATGATAGACATGAATTCATTGAAGTATGGCTATCAATAAACAACCTTATAACCATTGAAGAAACAAACCTGTTTGAACTCTAGTGTGAAATGAATTGAAGCTCGATCCCAATATGCGTTCTGGAAGAAAGAAAAATCATCTATAGCATCATTCCAATAACAGGTTTAAACATCGACAGTCATTATAGTAAAAGCTGCCACAGTATCGAAATTACTCAACATTTCAAGCAATCTTTTCTCTATCAATACCCCTAGGCGCAAGGGCGCGGGGGGGGGGGGGGGGGGGGGGGGGGGGGGCAGTCGCCGCCGCGGCTTAGCGAAGTAGTGTAAACTCGAACATTCCAGCTTCTCACGCATGTCAAGTGACTGCCCTCACCCCCACCCCCCTGAATTGGCTACATTCCCCCTGGCTCACGAATTTCCTGTTGCCGCACGCGCCGCGCGCGGCGACTGGTCCCCCTCGAGCCACATTACGCCCACGATTGTTTTGGGTTGTTCTGAATACACTGACGAAAGTGCGACACAGACACATCCCGCGCATTGCAGGCCACGACGGGGGGTGGGCTCACTGCGACAGAAAGCTATTTTTTCGCGCTCCCCAGCGCGAATCGTTTATCATTGCGGGAACCTCAGGTCCACTTCTGGACTCGAGGTTTTCGCAGCGAAAAATGTTTCGCGTTACAAAACGCGAAAGCCGCTTTCTGTCCTAGTGAACCACACCCCCACGACGGGACCATGCGAGGCATGCGTGGCCTGCACTCATTTCATCCATTTTTTCGACACTTAGTGAATGTTGCCTTTTCATTGCCACTTGACGTTCCTTGTGAAACAATAGTCACATATTAGTGAGGAATGACACCGCTATCGAATGAACAGTCAAAGGATGGATTCGCTTCTGTGCTTAATTGAATTTTGAATTGTTCAAGTGGAGTAGCTGGTATGTTCTGTATTCTCTCCTCTGGTAGCACGAGATCTTGAGTTTTAAATAAATAACCAAATAAACCATAATACTTGGTGGAAGGCGAAGTTTTCGAAATGTGGTGCTGAAAGGTTATACCACAAAAACTGTTCTATACGAAGAACAACTACTGCACTGTTTCTGTTATATTACACAGTAAAATGTCGTCAACATGTATCGATCGCGATTGAGTGCGCTGTCAGGCAGAAACGTCTGCACTTGGCGCTGCTCAAATGCCCATAAAACAATGTTTATCGCGCCTGTTTCTAAAAAATGGAAAACGGGATGGTCAAATTGTCAATTTGGGAATTTAAAAACATACTTGCAGCACGTAAACTTATTTCTATAAGGGTAGAGAACGCAGTGTCCATGAAAAGGCGTAAATTCAGCTATTCGAAAAGGGTTAGCGTTAAGCACGACAGGTGGTATGAATTGAAATCTTCAAAGCCTATGAACAAGAAGCATCGAATTATCACACTAAATAAAAGCACGTCCATTAAAAACCGCTAAGAAACAAATTACCGAAATGAAAAAAGTAGTCTGATGACCATGAGCATCCATTATTTGGCTCAGCATGAATTTTAAGGAACCGGAGGGGATTTTTTTTGAGGATTTTAAGGTTACGGAAAGAGGACTAGTCTATACCTAGTTGCTCTTCATTTAATGTGTCTTCTACTGGAACTGATTCGAGATCAACCTCTTCCTGAAGCCGTTTAGCGAGTTGGTAATCGAGCCACTCCAGTTCTTCCTTCGAAGAACAACTAAATGAAAAGACAATCAATCGATAACTGAAAATGAGTACACTAGAGATCATTGCAAGACGTATCATCAAAGTCTGGTAAGGCGAGAGTAGCCATCGATAACGCCTGGGGATAACTCCCAAAAACAAACGTTTCAAAAAACTTGTGATGAAGCAGGTTCACAAAGTAGCTGAACAAGAGCTGACATGAAAACGTTTTTCTCTGAACTTAAGAGAAAAGTGGTATCAGGCATTGTTCACAGTTTTCGAATCTTCCGAAAATTCGAATTCGCGAAAAGAATTTTATACGTATCGACCAGGAGAATTTCCACACGCGCGAACGCGGATGCGAAAAGGTTTAGATGCGTATCGACGTAGTAAACCACGCCCTATTAGCGTTGCTAGAGGATTTTCGCACCGCCGTTTCGATGCTGCGATCTCCGATTGACTGATCGATAGACACTATTCCTTTTAAGAGGATTCGCAGATTCGAATGCGCGATTCGACGCTCCTCCCATTTTGTGGATCGATACGCATTTGAATCTTTTCGCAGATCCGCAGATTCGTTCGTTTCGAGAGTTTCTCGGCTATGGCGCAGGTGTGAACAGTGCCTCAAAGATATGGGACTCGCTTTGTCTTAACACTTTGATTAGAGCATGAATTCCATCAGGCATATGAGACTCATCACCACATGGCAGAACACAGTGGATAAAAAGCAAAGGATCGAAAGCAAAATTCACAGGTCTATAGAAAAAGGCCACACGCTTTCATCCAATGCGCTTCCAGGGGCCGTATGCTATGCTTCCCCGAAGCTGGGTGATCTAAAGTTTCCTTTAAATTTATTTGTTTTGAACGATATAGTTTCTTCATTTTCATGTTTACTTTTACCTACATACATACATTAAATGTAGGCCCTTTATCAGGGCAATCCCAGTTGGGAAGACAGAGAAAATTTAAAGGGATTCTGTCCCCCAACCCTTTAGGGGAGCATAGCATACGGCCCCAGAGCACAATCACTTCGTTCGCATGAGCTTTGTGTATTATTGCGTCTCATCCACAGCAGTTGCTATCAAAACCAGTTGTACTTGGATAATTTCATTCCATCTCAATTACTCCCCACAGAGTGTCCCAAAATTGCTACACCGGGACTCAAGAATTTATCCAACTGGAGGTTGATAATTTTGTTTGCTATTGACTACTTGTGCAAACATTTGCATTGATTTCATCACACTAACTGCGTGATTATTGGGTGAAATTCCCAGTGTTTGCAAGACGGCCAAAGCTCACTCAACGCGATCCATAATCAGT